AAGAATAAGGGGAAAGAGTAATTACTTTAATGGCCCGTTCTTTATACGAGAGCCATGATAATAATTTTATTTTTTTTCGTCTTTGTTTGCTTTTAGTTTTTTACATTTTAATGCGTTAAAATTTAGCGTTAATTTATTCCATTTGGTCTCTAAAAAATTGTCTCCTTTTTTGTTTTGCTGAAATTAATTATTTATATTAATTTTATTATTTATGATAATTTGTCTTAATAATGATAATTATGGCAATTCTGGTATTAATTCTGGTAATTCTCGTATTAATTATGGAAATTATGGTACAATATTTATTCGTTCGATTTTTTATACTTTACAATCTTTTTTTTTTTAATTAACATTTATTCTATTTTGCAGAGTAGTTGTAGAATACACTTTTAGGAATTTTCTCCCAAATTTAATAAAGATTTTAAGCTGCAAATAAAGATATCAAAGTGTCGGACTAGTTGGAGAGGGATTAAAGAAAGTTTTCACGCGATAAAATGAAAGTTTAATTATGGCGAAAAAGAGAGTGTGAATACCACAAACTAGAAAAGGCAAATTCAACGTGACCGTATATTTAAATGTCTATGTCACTTTTGGTGGATGACTTTATTTGTCAAATACAAGGAGAAAATTTTATAAACTCTTTGCATTTATATTTGTCACGGATTAAAACTTTGGAAATTAAAAATCAATGCGACGAAAAAAGGAGAAAATAACAGTTTAAATATATAAACTGTAAAGGTGATGGGACGTTTAATTTGCGATGAGATCGTGGGCTGATAAAAGCGTTATATGGACGATCGCGTGGATCAACCGCGGTACCATCGTGTACAACTGTCACGGGTCCCCGAATAATAATAATTCTGAAAATGGAATAAGAAACCCCTCGGCGGAGGAATGAGAAAAGAAGGGAAGGAAAGGATAACGAGACGTTGACGGGCCAATTAGATTCTAAATGCCGCAATAATTTCCTTTAGCATTTGCCGAGTGATAGTGTATATGTATGTATTCAGAGAAACCTCGAAATGATGTTGGGAATATTTCGTTAAAAGGGTAGTTCTCTTAATAGAAGAGGACGAACCTCTAATTTTCCAACTGATCGATAGGCATTACATACCTATACCTATGTTTAAAAAGTCGTGATCATTATATACCAAGAGAAAATAAATGCTCAAACAAAATTCCTCGCTAGGCAAACAATTGATTCATTTGTCAATTTTTTTTTTGCATTTCGCTTTGATAAAAAAATTATTCATACGCAAATTACAAAATTTTTTATTTTCAAATTATTTGACTGATTATTATTATTTTATTCAATTTATTTGATTATTTTTATAAATAATAACATTTTTAGCAAAAATCCAATTATTCTCAACAAAATTTTAATAAATCCTTCGAAACAATTCAATTATTTTTTAAAATAGTAAAATCTTTGCAAAAATTCAAATATTATCAATAAAATTTCACGAAGGAATTCAATTCTTTTCTGAATTCGTTATAAAAATTTCCAAAAGAATTCAATTATTTTCTAAAATTTTAATAATCTAAATTAAATTCCTCCAAAGAATTAAAATTTTTATCGAAACAATTTTATTATTTTTCAAAAATTTCAATAATAATCATTGCAAGATATCAATTAGTTTCATAAATAATAAAAATTTTTCGAACGATTTCAATTAGTTTCGGAAATTTTAATCAAATTCTTCCTAAAAATTCAATTATTTTCATAAAAAGTCAAATTCTTCGTAGGATTTCAATTATTTTCATCAATAATCAAATTCTTCGGAGAATTTCAATTATTTTCAAAAATTTTAATCAAATTCTTCCTAAAAATGCAATTATTTTCATAAAAAAAAAATTCTTCGGAGGATATCAATTATTTAAAAAAATTTTAATCAAATTCTTCCTAAAAATTCAATTATTTTTATAAAAAAAAATTCTTCGGAGGATTTCAATGATTTTCAAAATTATTAATAAAATTCTTCGTTAGAATTTAATTATTATCATCATAACAAGTAAAATTCTTTGGAAGATTTCAATTATTTTGATTAAGAATAAAATTTTTCGGAGGATTTAAATTATTTTCAAAAATGGGAAACAAATTCTTGTCAAGAATTCAATTATCATCATAACAAGTAAAATTCTAGATTTCAATTATTTTCATTAATAATCAAATTCTTCGGAGGATTCCAATTATTTTCAAAAATTTGAAACAAATTCTTGTCAAGAACTCAATTTTTGTCATAAATAATTGAACTCTTTACAGAATTTCAATTATTTTCAAAAATTTGAAACAAATTCTTGTCATGAAATTCTTTCGAAGTAAAATTCATCGCAAAAATTAACTTATTTTTTATAAATAATAACATTCTCCTAAGGAATTCAATTATTTGAAATACAATTTTAATATCAACAATTTTAATAAACTTTAAAAGTCAAATATTTCATTATAATTATTAACAGACACGATTATTTTGAAAAGTTGAAAAATTTTTTTTGTTTCATTTAATTATTTTCATAAATAATAACATTTTTTAAACGATTTCAATTAGTTTCAGGAATTTTAATAAAATTCTTCCTAACAATTCAATTGTTTTCATAAAAAGTAAAATTCTTCGTAGGATTTCAATTATTTTAAAAAATTTCAATAGAATTCTTCGCAAGAATTCAATTATCTTTATAAAAAATAAAATTCTTTGGAAGATTTCAATGTTATTAATAAATAATAAAATTCTTCGCAAGAATTCAATTATCATCATAACAAATAAAATTCTTTGTAAGATTTCAGTTATTTTCATTAATAATAAAATTCTTCGGAGGATTTCAATTATTTTCAAAAATTTTAATAAAATTCTTCCTAAAAATTCAATTATTTTCATAAAAAATTAAAATTCTTTTGATGATTTCAATTATTTAATTTTCTTATTAAATAATAGAATTCTTCGGAGGAATTCAATTATATTTTCAAAAGTTTTAATAAAATTGTTCGCAAGAATTCAATTATCTTCATAAAAAATAAAATTCTTTGGAGGATTTTAATTATTATCAAAAATTATAATAAAATTCTTCCTAAAAATTCGATTTTCTTTATAAAAAATAAAATTCTATTGATGTTATAAATTATTTTCTTATGAGGATTTCAAATATTTTTAAACAGTTTAATTAAATTCTTCATGAGAATTTAATTATCTGCATAAAAAATAAAATTGTTTAGAATATTTTAATTATTTTCATTAATAATAAAATTCTTCGGAAGGTTTCAATTATTTTCAAAATTTGGAAACAAATTCTTGTCAAGAACTCAATTGTTTTCATAAATAATTAAACTCTTTACAGAATTCCAATTATTTTCTAAAATTTGAAACAAATTCTTGTCAAGAAATTCTTTCAAAGTAAAATTCATCGCAAAAATTAATTTTTTTTTATAAATAATAACATACTCCTGAGAAATTCAATTATTTTTAATACAATTAAAAAGTTGAAAAAATTTTTTGTTTAGTTTAATTATTTTAAAATTTTTTAATTAAATTGTTTAAAAAACTACATTGTCTAAAAAAACACAAAGAAATTCTTGAAAAAAATTTAATTATTTACAAAATCTCTAATAAAATTGTTTAGAAGAGTTTAATTTTTTATTAATAGATAATTTATTAAAATTATTAATAGAAAATTAAACTCTTCTAAAGAATTTTATTCAAATTTTAATAATAGTTTTAGTAGTAAAACTATTAATTACAATTATTAAAAAATCGATTGAGATATAGAATAAAGAAAAAAAAATTTTTTAAATGAAAATAATTTTGAAAAAGTTATTATCACTCGGTCACCTATAAAACATGAAGACATCGATCACTCCGAGTCGAAGACTCGGAGTTATCGATTTCTTCATGTTTTATAATAAATATTCTTTTAAGTTATATTGAATTTCAAAAGGTTGGATTTTGAAATTTTTCAAGAATCTTAATTTATATTCATGTTTTTGAATAATTTTACAATATTGTTTTGAGATTGTATCAGAATATACTTTAGGATCAGGGAAAGAGTCAAAATTTTGTCTGAAAAATCAGGAAAAAGTTGAGGAAAAGCAAAATGAAATTTTTGTGGTAACCCGGATATGCCAATATTTATTACACAGGCCAACAAAATTTTGTTGCCCAACCAATGAAAGCCAATTCTTATAGGATTTTGTCCGTAGAATCCGAATTTGACCTTGAAAATATTGGATTGGCTCTATTTTTCAAGCAATTTACGTTCCAATACGCAAATTACGCATTTTTGGCATATTTTGAATGAATGTAAAACCAAATATCGAAACAGTAAATCTGTCCGCATAGGACCAAATTACAGCTTAAATACTGCTCTTTAATATCCAAAAACAAAAAATTTAATTTATATACGCTTTAACCTTTAATGTCCAATGGAACATACGCTGTTTCATAAACGTATTGAAAATAACATTACTTTTCACCAGGTAAGACAAATTAAGTAAAAATTAGTCTCTCCGGGGGTATTTGTAGTCGCTGCTTAGAAATCTGTATTCAGATTTTAATATTCAAAATGGCGCATTCAATATGGAGAATTTTTTTTTTAATTGTCATTTTTATCATAAAGGTGTAAACTATTTTTAAAAATTAGTCCGAAATTTTTAATTTTTATATTTCGTAGCAGATTTATATGTAGTATTTAAGCTTTAATTTGGTCCTATGCGGACAAATTTACTGTTTCGGTATTTGGTTTTACATTTATTCAAAAAATGCCAAAAATGCGTATTTTGCGTATTGAAACGTAAGTTGCTTGAAAACTAGAGCCAATCCAATATTTTCAAGGTCAAATTTGGATTCTACGGACAAAATCCTATAAGAATCAGCAATAACATTTTAGGCAACATGCAATTGATGAAATTTTGTCGGCCTGTGTTATTTTTCTTTTCTAAAGAAAAAATGAATAAAATTGTTTTTTTTTGTGATTTCAGGTGGGATTGTTTATTAATTCTGGAATAAAGATACAAGACAATAGTGAAGAAGCTTCTTCTTTCTGGTTGTAAATGATTGCATGCCTGACGCTTGGGAACGACTTTATGGTCTGAAGAGAGGAGAACTGTGGCCTGTGCGCGCTCTTGTTCCGAATTCTGATTGTGAGATGGCTGAAAGTGAATCCTCCCGAAGGCACACAACATTCGAATTCGATGGTATGTCTCCGTTTCACACCCTAAGTGGCGCGGTGTCTCTCTGTTCTTTCACAAATACAAAATTCACCTTTCTTCACCAATAAACACACATGCGTATCAAACACCACCAAATGGAAGCTGATGAGATTCACACCGAGTCTTGTTCGCGGTCTTCTTTTGGGTTTTTGTTTTTGTGTCGTTTTCTATACCGCTCGTCGCCAAACCAAATAACAGCATCTCTCTCACTCTCTTTCTCTATCTCTCTTTTTCTTTTTCGCCGTTCAGCGACAACTTCTCACTTCCACCGCTTAATAAAGTGGCTTTTAGTCTTCCAAAAAGAATGCAAAAGTAAACTTTCTTTTTTTTTTACTCTTAATTTTTGCTTTTTTATTCGATTTTTTTGGGGGAAAATCAAAAATTCACTGAGTGGAACGAAGACAGGCTTCGCACTCATCTACTAAAATCTACCATTTACTACTTTTTTTACGTTTTGCTACTATTTAGGTACTTTTTTTTAGATTTCAGTCACTAAAAGCTACAATTTTTGTTTTTGTTTTTTTTTGTTGAGAATTTCTACTACTTTAAATTCGCTAATACTAGAAATAAAAAAAACTATTTTCAAAATTTAGATATAATCAAATTCTTTAAAACGATTCAATTATTTCCAAAAAATATTCGAAATTCAATTCTTTTCAATATCTAGTATTTTCATCAAATTTCGCAAAACAATTCAATTATTGAAAAAAAAAATTGATAAAATTCATCCAATATTAAATTATTTTCATAAATAATAAAATTTCCCACAGGAATTAAATTTATTAAGAATAGAATTTTTAAAAAAATTTCTAAAATCAATTATTTAACAAAATTTTTATACAATTCTTCACAATAATTCAATTACTTTCACTAATATTAACATTTTTCATGGAAATAAAAAATATTTTTAAAAAATTTTGTTAAAATTCTAAGCAAGAATTCAATTATTTTCATAATTAATAAAACTGATCGATGAATTTCAATTATTTTGAATACTACTTTAAATTAATTAATCAAAAAATTCATTTATTTTCACAATTGAAGTTAATAAATTATAAAAGAATTTAATTATTTCCAATGAAATGTTCATAATATTTATTTTAATTCGAAAAAATTAATTATTTAAAACAATGTTTATAAAATTCTTATAAAGAATTCAATTATTTTCAAAAATTTTAATAAATTCAATTATTCGATTATTCAATTAAAGATTTCAATTATTTTTAAGAAATTTAATTTAATTCGTCGCAAGAATTGAATTATTGTCAAAAACAATAAAATTTTTTTGGAGTAAAACATCAATGAAATTTTTTAATTGGAATTCATTTAATTTAAATGTAATTTTAATAAAATTTCTCGAAAGAATACAATTATTTTTAAAAATATTATTTAAATTCAATTATTTTCAAGATTTTTAATAAAAATTTCAATTCTTCTCAACAATTCTGATAAAATTCTTCGAAACATTTCAATTATTTTTATAAATTGTAAAATTCTTAGCAAGAATTCAATTATTTTTGTAAATAATAAAATTCTTCTGAGAAATTCAATTATATTCAATACATCCTTATTAATAAAATCAGATGTCTGTCTGTACATTGCTTAAAACTTCAAAATGTTAACATGATTAGTTATTATGGACATCAGGGATTCCAAAAATATTCTTAAAAAATTTAATGTATGTACGTATGTATGTACGTATGTATGTACGTATGTATGTACGTATGTCTGTCACAAAAACTTTGTACCCCAATCACACAAAAACATGTAAATCGATTTAAGTCCAACTTGGTAGGTTATTAGGTATTGACCCAAGGAAGGTTTATAAATTTACAGATTTAAAAAATATTAATTAGAACGGGAGATATTCAATTTCTTCAAAAAATTCAAAAAATCGAAAATTTCAAAATTTTTAATTTTTTCATGGATTGCTTTTAAAGTTTCTATACTTGAGTATCACATGTTATTTAGTCACATTTTAGCATAATTTTGCAAAAAATAAAGTCCTATAACTAATATGTAAGTATACAAATGTTTTCAAAAAATCAAAAATTTCAAAATTTTACATTTTTCATGGATTGCTTTTAATCTTTCTATATTTGAGTATTACATGTTATTCAGTCACATTTTAGAATAATTTTGCAAAAAATACTATCCTATAACTAAGATGTAAATATAAAAATATTTTCAAAAACTTCAAAAAATGGAAAATTTCCAAATTTCACATTTTTAATGGATAGCTTTTAAACTTTCTAAAATTCAATATTATATGTTATTTAGTCAGATTTTAGCATAATTTTGCAAAAAATACTATCCTACAAGAAATATAAAAAAATTTTCAATATATCAAAAAATCGATACTAATTACTATATGAAGTATAATTCAGTAGTATTTTTGGAGTCTCTGATTAATATTTTGATGTCAAAATAGTGTAATTGAGAATTATTTATCAAATTAATCTAATATTTTCAAGAATTTCAGAAATATTGAAAATGCAAATTTTTTATGATTAAAATGATATTGCAGGATGTCAAGAAATTGTAAGTCACCTCTGATACAATACAAGCATATTATATGCCACTAGGCAAAAACTTATATGTTAAAACGTTTTTTTTATTTTAACTCTAGATTTAACTTTTAGAGATGTTTTGAGCAATGTAAAGACAAAAGTTAACACGGTGTCTATTTTGTTTAACAAAATATAGGTCTTATGTTAGGTTTTAGCAGTCGTAACCTTTGCGATACAATTAGTTCCAATTAGACTCTACTATAACTCCAAAAACTGGGTGGGAAATTTGATAAATTTTTAATGCATTAATTAAAGTACTACAAATTGACAAATATTGTTCTCTGCATTTGAATTGGTTAAAATAACTAATTTGATAATAAAAAGTCAATCACTGATTCAAATAGTAATATTTTCCTACTGAAATAGCTATAATGGTACCTAACTAATTATTATTTTTTTCCGGTCAAATTAAATTCCTGAGCTATTTCCTTATTTTCCAAATTGGTAGACACACTGTTAAATGTATTGGTAGAAACTAAAACCCGTCGAAGACGGGTACGACAGCTAGTATTTTTATAAAATTCCTGGGAAAAAATTCAATTATATTCAAGATAATTTTAATAAAATTTTTCACTGAAATACAATTCTTTTAAAACATTTTAATAATATTTTTCGTGATAATTCAGTTATTTTCATAAATAATATAATTCTTCTCAGGAATTCAATTATTTTTGAAAATTTTAATAAAATTCTTCAAAAAGTTTTCAATTATTTTCATAAATAATAAAATTCATTGCAGGATTTTAATTATTTTTAATACCAATTTTACAGGAATTGTTCGAGAAATGTCATTATTCTTAAAAATTTAATTTCAATTCCTCGCAAAAATCAATTAAATAAAAAAATATTTTTTTAAAATTCTTTAGAAGAATTTAATTATTTACAAAAAAATTATAATTTTTCACAAGAATTAAATTATTTTCAAATATTTTAATAAAATTGTCGGGAAGAAATCAATTATTTTTAATACAATTTTCATTACATTTTTTTGAAATAATTCAATTATTCTTTTAGATTTTTTAAAAATTCTTCCCAAGAATTTAATTATTTACATAAATAATTCTTCGAAAGAATTCAATTATTAAAGATAAATATCGAAATTATTCCCGAAAATTCAATTATTTTGAGGCATTTTATTAAAATTCTTTGCAAAATTCAATTATCTTCGTAAATAACAATATTTATCACAAGAATTCAATTATTTATTTAAAAGTAATAAATTTCTTCTTAGAAATTCAATTATTTTTCAAAATTTTAATAAAATCATTCCCAAGAATTCAATTATTTTCATAAATAATAAAATGCTTTTTTGGAATTTATTTAATTGTTGTCAATAATTTTAAAAGAATTCTTTGTAAAATTTAATTATTTTTAAATACTTTTAGCAAATCAATGATTTTCAATATCTACTATTTTCATAAAATTTCCAAACAGAATTCAATTATTTAATAAAATTTTTGTAAAAATCTTCGTATGAATTCAATTCTTTTCATGAATAATAAAAATTTCTCAGGAATTCAATTATTTAAATTAGAATTTGCATAAAATTGGTCGAAAGAAATCAATTATTCATTAATTTTTATAAAATTCTTCGCAAGAATTAAATTATTTTTATAAATATTAAATTTCTTTCATTGATAATTGTAAAATTCGTTGCAGAAATTCAATTTATTAGCAGGATAAGAAAGAAGTAAATATTTTTGCTGAAAATTAGAAAAAAGTCAGGAAAATAAAATATAGAATGTAATTTTTATCAGTTTTGTAAAGTATCTAAAAGGAGTTTTGTTGGTCTTCAAGTTTAATTTTTCGATAGCTACTTACTTTTTTATTTTTTTACTACATTTTTGAACTTTAATGCTACTTTTTGCTGCTTTTTGAAAATTAATTATTGAATGCAAAGTCTGCGAAGATTATGAACTTTTTTTTGTTAGTAACTTACAAAAATAGTTGTAAATTTTATTTACACTTTTGTGTAATTTTTATTTTTTTTTATCGATTTATAATTTAACGATAATTTGTTGTTGGGAAGTTGTAAAATTAATTGTTATTTCTTCTTAAATTTTATTTTTGTTTTTTATCCATCATTTATGAAAAGAAGAAAAATATTAGGTAAAATTGTGCGTGAATTGAAAATTTTAACAGGAAATTTTATTTTTCAGTTGCTGAGTGTTTCTTTCGAAAAATCCTCGAGGTTGTGGTGCGGTGAAGCTTTATCGGATTCATATCTAACTAAATCAAAATACTGATTCGTGCACGTATGTATAAATTATATATATTTTTATCGCTTTGATAATTCAACCCTTATATATTTCAAGTACTATATAGATAAATAAATGCAGTCCCGCATGAGATTTTACATAAATGTTTACCTTTAATTATTCTTCCGCATGCAAGAAAATTAATATCTAATTGTTAGTCAATAGTAATAATTTTTTTTCATACATAGGGGAGTTGTGAATATTGTACAAAATAAAACGCTTGCGTAATATTTTACACATTTGCATAAAATTATTTTTTCACTTTAAAAAGTAATTTAAAAATTTTAAATTAATTACAAAATTGAATTTTTTTACCTTGTTCCGTTTACTACTTAAATAAATAACTAAAAGTAACAAGTATTTCGAAAAATTAAAAAAATACTTTTCTAGAGACTAGATAGAGATTTTCGATTTAGACTTAACAGAGATCAAATACTTTATAATAATCGTATACTAAATAAAATTCCATTTTTCAGGTTTCGTCTCGACTGGAGGAGCAGTTTTCTCACGAATAAACTTTCGCTTCTTGGACAAACCGCTAAATCGTAAAATAAGAAAAAGGTATATGACAACTTCTATTATGATCATCATCATCTTCACGTGAGTAACCGCAAAATTTTGGACAAAATTCTATATAATTTTTGTTCGATCACTTTAGAAGGAAGATGAACAAGAAATATCCGTTGTGGGGACATTTTCTCGTCACATTATTGTCACATTGAAAGGAAAAAGGGATACATGTCTCCGTTTGATATCCGAATTCTCATAACTCACATCCGTTTTGCGTGCATAAATGACACAAGGCAGCGCGTAGGCATTTGTCCAGCTGTTAACCCGCACCTAAAGAGGCATATATATTTTTTTCTTTTTTTTTTTTTTAAATAAGTGCCGTAAAACGTGAAATAATGTATGCGCGAAATATACTCTCTTCTCTCATTATCAGTGTGTTTCTAAGTGAGTAACACACATTTCCAGGGGAAATAATACTCGCCCCGGACGCGAGCCATTCACACTCATGAGACACATGAGTCGCATGCAAAAGGCGTTTTAAAAAAAAAAGTATAGTCCTTGTAGTTTTCAACCCTCTATAGGTCAATGACTTTCTTGCATGCGCTTTGTAAAAGAAAAAAACTTTAACATTTCAAAGTCCAACTCTACTATTTCGACATTTCGGCACAAGATTCTCTCTTCATTATTAATTTTTTTTATTAGATTTTTTATTAAATTATTATTCTACATTAATTCAGAGTTGCCAGGGGAAGTCAGATCAGGGAATTCAGAAAAAAGTCAGAGATTTTTATTAAAGTACTGGAAAAAATTGAATTTTAAAAAAGAGTTACAAATGATTGCAGAAATTCAATTATTTTCAAAAGTAATAAAATTCTTCACAAAAATTCAATTATGTTCGAAAAATTTTAAAAATTCTCGTCAAAATTTCAATCATCATTAAAAATAATAATAAAATTCTTCTCAAAAATTCAATTACTTTCAAAAATTTTCCTCAATTCAATAATTCTCAATATCTACAACTTTAATAAAATTTCCCAAAAGAATTGAACTGTTAAAAAAAAAAGTTTTAATAAAATTCTAAGCAAACGTTTAATTATTTTCATAAATAATAAAAATTTCACAGGAATTCCGGTAATCTGTTCGCAGTTTAAAATTAGTTATTGTTTGCTTTTTTGTATCGTAAAGTTTTTAATAATTTTTCTTTTTAAATATTTTCAATTTTAAAATTATTGTATTTTGAAAATCATCGAATTGTAGCAAAGAATTTTATCAAAAAATTTGATGATAGAATTTTTTCGAAGAATTTTATTATTTCGGAAAATATTTGAATTCTCGAGAAGAATTTTGTTAAAATTTTTGAAAATCCTAATTAAATTCTTTTCAAGAATTTCTTAAAGTTTTCTTAAAAATAATGTAGTTTTTTGAATAATTATAATTGAAAATTTAGAAAATAATTGAATTTTATTAACAATTTCATTCAATTTTTTAAAATAATCCTATTTTGTTAATAATTGTAATTAAACATTTAATTATTGAATTTTATTTAAATTTTATAGAAAATAATTGAATTCATTTGAAAAATTGTATAACAAATTAAAAAAAAATTTAATTATTTCGTGAAATTTTTTTGAACATTTAATTGAATTTTGGCAAAGAATTTGACTATTTATAAATATAATTGAATTTTTTCGAAGGATTTATTAAAACTTTGGAAAATAATTGAATTTTTTCGAAAAATATTATTAAAATTTTTTTTAAAAATTGAATTCTTTCACGAAATGTTATTAAAATTGTATTAAGAATAATTTAATTTTTGCAAAGAATTTTACTATTTATAAATAAAATTGAATTGTTTCGAACGATTTATTAAAATTTTAGAAAATAATTGAATTCTTTTGAAATGTTTTATAACAAATTAAGCAAAAAATTGAATTCTTTCGTGAAATTTTTTTGAAAATAATTGAATTTTTGAAAAACTATTTAAAAAAGTAATTGAATTGTATCGAAGGATTTATTAAAATTTTAGAAAATAATTGTATTCGTTCGTGAAATTTTATTAAAATTTTATTTAAAAATTGAATTAAAATTCTTTATAAGAAATCAATTTTTTAAAAACATTCATTTATTCAATAAATTATTTATTTTTGTATTTAAATAATTGAATTCTCATAGAATTTTCTAATAAAAATTAATTTAAATATGGATTGCAGTAAAAATTTTAGATAGTTAAATATTAAAAGTATTATAGCATAAATTTTCAAAAATAATTGAATTTTAAAAAGGTTTTAAATTAAAATCTTTGAAAATATGAATTTTTTACACTTTTAACTGACAATTGTATAGAATTATTTTTTTTTCGAAAAAGTTTAATTGAATTTTTTTTTAAAATTATTTCAAGTTTTTATTTTCTAAATATTTAATTGAAGAATTTCCGAATAATGGAAATTTTATAAAACTGAATTGTAAACAAATGGATTTGAAAATTCTCAAGAATTTTAATAATATTTTTGAAAATAATTGAATTCTTGCAACGAATTTTATTTATATTTTTTGAAATAATTGAATTCTTTTGAGAAATTTTAATAAAATAGTTGATTTTTAAAATATTTGAATTTCAGCGAAGAATTTCATTATTTTGTGAAATGTGTAGGTAATTGAATTCTTGCAAACAATTTTTGAAAATAATTACATTTTTTGTGGAATTTATTTAAAATTGTATTAAAAAATATTTGAAATCCTATGAAAAATGTTATTATTTATGAAAATAATCGAGTTCTTACAGCGAATTTTATTACATGTTCTTAAATAATTGAATTCGTGTGAATAATTTTATTACTTGTAAAAATAATTAAATTCTTGAGAAGGATTTTATTAAAATTTTTATAAATAATTAAATTCTTTTTTTTGAAAAATTTTATGGAAATTTAAATTAATGTTTTAGAATAATTTTACAATTAAAAAAATTCGTAAATAAAATAATGTATTATAATGGAACAGTTTTTTGAGTGTCTAATAATTTTTAGAGTGAATCAGAATACTTTGTAGGGTCAGGGAAAAATTCAAAATTTTGTCTGGAAATCAGGGAAAAACAAAATTAATTTTTTGTGGAAAAGAAATTAATTAAAAAATTAAAAGAAACAAATTTGACAATTAACTAATTATTTTACTTAATAGTAAATAGTGTTGTAAATAGTGTTGAGCGAATTTCTTCAAAGAAGATAAAGATCAAGTTTTATTTCTCGTCTCTATAAGTTCTTGGTTTGTGTGTAGAATTTGCTGCTGTGCACAAAGGCGAGTGGAAATTGCGCGGTGTGCTTTTGTATTTCATTTAGCCCCTTCTTTTTTGGTTTAAGGTGCAAGACACTTGAGTGTACTAGCAATTAGAAACAAATTCAATGGTGCTGAAACTCGTCCTCTATTCCCGCAGTCAGTAAGACTTTCTTCTCACGATGAATTCACTTAGAAATATAGAAAACAGAGGAATTTACACTTTCAAAACTTTAGCGTAATAGATATATACCCTGAAGTTTTATTTGTTCAAATGTTTCCGAATCTCATTACTCTCTCCGGCAAATAAACAATCTTCGATTTCTAAGAAAATAATTTTTTTCTATTTTCGAAATACTGTTTAAATAATCTGTATTAATCTATATTAATTATCGTTTTATTCCGAATGTCTGTTCGGAGTTTGAAGTTTGTTATTTTTCTTTACTATTGTTTCCTAATTTTTTTCATAATTATTTTTCTATTCTTGAAATCATTTGTTTTAAATTGTTATATTTTTTATTAAATTCAAATTATTGAAGTATATAAATTAACAAATAATTATTTAAATTAATTTAACATAATTTTTAGTTATTATTTAAGCATTTTTCATTAACATTAAAGTTGATTTTCATAAATTATACATTTCGAAACATTCCAAGAAAAATTTAGAAATGAATTAATTTTTCAAAATTTGCTTTAATAAATTTTATTTTTTTTTTAAATTTAAAAGTTAATACTTTGATTAGATTAAAAATTTTTTTAAATAATTGAATTTTTTAGAAGAATTTTAGTAAAATTTTTTAAAAATTAATTAATTTCCCAGAAGAAGTTTATTATTTATAAAAATAAATGAATTCTTGCGAAGATTTTATTTATTCTTGAAAATAATGGAATATGTTGGAAAAATTTTTTTTTATTTATAAATAAAAATAATTGAGTTCTTTAGAGAAAATTAAATTCATACTAAAAAGAACTGAATTTCTGTGAAGAATTTTCTTATTTATAAAAATAATTGAATTCATGCAAAGAATTATATTAAAATTTGAAAAAATAATTGAAATCTTAGGAATAATTTTATTATTTAGAGTATTTAATCAACTATTCTGAAAAATTTTACTGAATAATTTGAAAATTATTTAATTTTTCAGAAGAATTTTATTATTTATGAAAATAACTGAATTAATTGCGAAAAATGTTATTAAAATGTTTTTAAAGAATTGAATTTCAGTGAACAATTTTGTTATTTTAGAAAAATTTTATTACAAGTTTTAAAAATAATTGAACATGTTAGAAAAATTTTATTAAAATTATCTTGAATATAATTGTATTTCTCAGAAGAATTTTTCTATTTACAAAAATAATTGAATTCTTGCTAAGAATTTTACAATTTATAAAAATAATTAAATTGTTTTGAAGAATTTTATCAGAATTGTTAAAAATAATTGAATTAATTGAATTAAAAATTGAATTTCTTCAAAGAATTTATTTATTTTTGAAAATAATGAAATTTTTGCACAAAATTTCATTTTTATAAAAATAATTAAATTCTCTAGAGGAAATTACATTTATTTATGAAAAAAATTGAATTTCTGCGAAGAATTTTATTATTTAAAGAAGTAATTAAATTCTTGCTAAGAATTTTACAATTTATAAAAATAATTGAATTGATTTGAAGAATTTTATCAGAATTGTTGAAAATAATTAAATTTTTATTAAAACTCTTGAAAATAATTGAATTTAAATAATATTTATAAAAATAATTGAATTGATTTGAAGAATTTTAT